AGTATCTGCCATGCTATTAATAACATAAAACCTGTCTTACTGCATTTGAGATTTCCAAGTCATGTTTTATTTCCCAGTTGAAATAATATTTAGAGTTTCAAAAATGTGAACCTTTAATAGTATCAGCAACAATTTTTTTTATCCTCTTTAAAAAAAAAAAAAAAAGTCTGTGCCTTTCCTGAAGAACAGATGTTAACATTTGATTTTTGAAATTTCCCATTAAAAAAAGTATCGATCAACAGAATGGCTAATTTTATAAACCACAGGAAACATTAGTAAAACAAGCCAGTGTTTTATCTTGTCAATAACGCTGGGTTATTTCCTGCATGCGCACACAGTGCGGGCAGCAGGTCAGATGGGTGCCCTGGTGGGCGTACCCCCTCCCCCTCCTCCGTTGCCTCAGCCTCTCTCTGGTGCTGCATCTGCCTCTCCCTTCAGGAGACACTTGGTTGTCTCCCACTTGCGCCAGAGCCCACTACCTTCCGGGCTTGTCCCCGTTGCCCCAGGACATGGGTGGAGTGCTGGGGCAGGATGGGCGCGGCGCGTGGGCAGGGTTGCAGTGTGGCTGTGGAGCAGGAGGCTGATGCGGATGGAAGGTGGCCCGAGGTCCCAGGGGTGGCTTGACCTGTGGAAACGTGTTAGAAGTCCTGGTGAGGTTATTTAGGTAAGTAATAATTAGAGTTGAATAAGCGCCCTGCACTGGCCTGGGAAAGCAAGCCTCCCGTGTGCCTTCTGTGAAACACCTACCCTTTGGATTGGCGTACAAGCACTGCTCTTGTACCGATTTGTGTCTCTGCCCCTCGCTGCTCCAGGCTCTTTGGGCCAGGACCCACATCCAGTCAGCCACCAGGTGAGTGAACTGGATGGTGGCCTGGGCGCTTGCCCCGTCTGTCCCCAGCATTCAGTCCAGGGCTGGGCTGTTGCCCGTTGTTCTGCAGTGGTGTCTCCCAGGCGCCCACCTGAGCAGCTGTGATGCAGTGCTTCCATCAGGGCCGGCCCCGGGGGCGTTAGGCCCCATGCCTGCTCTCTCCCAAACCAGTCTGTCTCCCCCAGAGCACTGTTAATGCCTCGGCCCAGGCTGTTGTCTCTAGTGCCCAGCAGTAGCCTCATGTAGGGTCTGTCTGCTGCTGGTCCTGTCGCCGTGCCCTTTACTACACGTCGCCCTTCCACTCTCCCTCTGCCGTCAGAGTGGCCGTCCACAGGACACGTCTGATTGTGGCGCTGCTGTGCTTGGCGCTGCTTCGTGGCTCCCTGCTGGATCCCATGTTGAGTCAGAATCCCTTACAGCCTGGCACCCACTCCAGGTGGCGCCGCTGGGGGCCAGCAGGACCGCATCCGCATTGCCTGGCACAGCAAGTGCTCGCACAGTTCCTCGAATGAATACGCGAGCCTTTCCCTGGGCTGGGAAGCCTTTGCATTTTATGGCACTTCTCTCACTGTAAATGTGGGTATGGAATAAGTCAGAAAAGGCGTGGGAATTGGTAACTCCTGCCAAAATCTCTTTGGGGCCAGTATACAGATTGAAAAAAAATCATTGAGGTGAAATGCACACAAATGGTTAACAGTATCAATTAACTTTTACAGTGAACAATTCAGTGACATTTAATACGTTCGCAGTGTTGTGCAACCATCACCTCTGTCTAGTTCCAAAACCTTTCATCCCTAGAGGAAGCCCTGTCCCCGTAGAGCAGTGGTTCCCCACGGTGGCTGGCAATGAGTGCAGATGTGGGTGAGTTACAGCCAGGGCAGGACCTTGAGTCAGATCTGGGTTTCTCTGATGACTTAGTAACTGACCGTTGTTGTTGTAAGAGAGTTCATCCTGAGTGTGTGTACTTCTTGGCATCTCCGTGGGCTGAGCGCTGCTGTGATAGGACTTGGAGCGTGGCTCTTGATAGTTAAGAGTTTCCTGTTGTGGACTTGAACTTGGCTAGGAATGACTATGTTGCCCGCAGCCGGTTTTATGGCCAAACAAATGCCACAAACCCAGTTAGCTTGGGGAAAGAGCTATTGCGTTTCTGAAGAGGTAGTTTAAGAGGTAAATTTTTATTTGAAGAGCTATAAGAAAACTGTGCCCTATAAAAATTAAGTAGGAGGTAATCAAGATCTCTGGCATACTTTTTTTTTTTTTTTACACAAATAGTTTATTGTCAAATTAGTTTCCACATAACACTCAGTGCTCATCCCCACAAGTGTCCTCCTCCATGCCCATCCCCCCTCCCCCCTGGCATACTTTAAGAATAGCCTCATACTTGGGTTATTAATCTGCATGAGAAGTTTAGTTTTTCACTGGCCTGATTTCTATAAAAATAAGTGGATTGAAATACCTTTGGACCTCCTCAACCTAAGCTATCCTGCTTCGATCTTTAGTTTTTATAATTTCTTCCCTGTTGTAAAGAGAAGTTGTCCTTATTCTAGGAAGTTCCCAAAATATATAAAGGGGGAAAGGCCGAAAAGGCCCTACTGACTAAACACAACCATGGTTAATATTTGGTGGACATCATTTTTAAAAAAATTTTTAAATGTTTATTTTGAGACCGTGAGAGAGAACGGGACTGAAAGGGGGGAGGGCAAAGAGAGAGGGAGGGAGAGAATCCTAAGCTGGCTGTATGCTGCCAGCACAGAGCCCAGTTCAGGGCTCAAACTCACGAACTGTGAGATCATGACCTGAGCTGAAATCAGGAGTCAGAAGCTTAACCAACTGAGCCAGCCAGGTGCCCCGGGTGCCAGTATAAAGCAGTATACAAATAAAAAACCAGTATACAAATAACACACAAATACATGCTGTTCATTCATAAAAGACCCAGATGGTGAAGCAGCATTAGGAGTGAAAAATGAAAAGTGCCCATTGTTACTTCTTGTCCCCAGGGCAGCCTTCCTGTTGTTGGTTTGAGACCTTTCTGGATCCTTTCCCAAGTGCTCAGACAGGGAGGTTATTAAGATTTTATTATTATTGTTTTTAGCATAATTGTGATAATTCTACGCTTACTGTTTTGTGGCTCTTTTCAAAAACCATATTTTTTAGAGTTCTTAGCAGTACATCAGCTTATTTTTTTCTTTTTAAATGGTTTTTTCTTTATTTTTAATGACATTATTTTTGAAATGGATATACCATAATTTAATGTTCATCTTTATTTTTTCCCCATTGGTTCTAGTATCTTTTTTTTTTTTTTCCTGGATGAACATTTAGGTTGTTTCCAGGGCTTCGGCATATTAAAAATAGTGCATTCATCAATCTTGAATGCACATTTTATTTGCATGGATATTTCTAGAGGATGGTTTCTAGGAGTATAGTTGCTGGATCCAAGAAAATACCTGTTTTAAGTTCTAGTGCTGTTACCCTCCACAAAGGCCTGTCCACCAAGAACATAATCTTGCTGATAACCACACCCTAGTGAACACTAGATTCATCTTTTAAAATACTCCCCTAATTTATGTTAAAAATAAAATTAAAAAAAATTTTCATTTCTATAAACTTAAATGAGATTCAACAGCTTTTCATGTGTTTTAGATAATTCAATTTTTTTCCTGTGAATTGTATGCACCTATCATTTGCCTGTTTCCTCTGGATTGTTTTATTGATTCGCAGGTATTGATGAACTACTGGCACCAACTTCTGTGGGCCATAGACGTTGCACTGTACCTTCTATTATGCCATCTCACCTTTTATTTCTCTTTAGTATACTTTACAAATAGCAGATGTAAAAGTTTTTCTATACTTGGTCTTTTTTCTCTTATTCAAAAAAATGTAGTTCTGCTAAGGCACCTGGGAGGCTTATGCAACTGACTGAGGCTCAGGTCATGATCTCAGGGCTTGTGAGTGCAAGCCTCATTTTGGACCCTGTGCTGACAGCTCAGAGCCTGGAGACTGCTTGGGATTCTGTGTCTCCACCTCCCTCTCTCTGCCCCTCCCCTACTTGTACTGTTTTTCTCTCAAAAATAAACGTGAAAAAAAATTTAACACAATGTAGTTGTGCTATCATTCACACATACGGTTATTTTCAGTATTAATGTTTCAAAATAGATTTCTAGAAACGGAACCATCTGGCTAAAAAGTAAAAATATTTTGGGGCTCCTGGATGGCTCAGTTGGTTGAGAGTCTGACTCTTGATTTTGGCTCAGGCCATGATCTCCTGGTTCATGAGTTCGAGCCCTACATTGGTCTTCATGCTGACATCGTGGAGCCTGCTTGGGATTCTCTCTCCCCCCTTTCCCTTCCCCTCCCCTGCTTGCTTATGTGCTGTCTCTGTCTCTGTCTCTCTCTCTCTCTCTCAAAATAAATAATTTATAAATAAAAATCAGTACAAGTATTTTAAAGCTCTGTGACAGGCTGCCAGAACGACTCCACACGACTCCGAGTGCCCTGCAGGGCAGGCATGGAGGGTGGTAGCCTGCCGGTGCCCAGGAGTTCCCTTCTTCAGGATGAATTCTGTCTCTTACCTTGAGGGCCCAGAAACTAGATTATGTTGGCAATAGTGGCCACCACACCACACACTACTGCCTGCATGTACCAGCAGGCTGGTTTGTGATGCACCCACGGTGGGAAGTGTCTGCACGCTGGGCCAGCGGCAGTGCCTGAGCTGCTCCCCTGGGAATGCCACGCAGAATCGTTAGCACATGGTGACCTGGGACAGGGTCTTGACCCAGGCAGCCCAGGCTGCTTCCTACCCATCAAGCCAGCAGCTCCGGTGCCCAGCGGTGCCTCCCTTGGCCCTGGATGCTGCTACAGTCCCTGCCCCGTGGACTTTTCTGGGGTGCTCCGTGTCTGCCTCCCCCATGGGACCCACGATGCATTTCTCCTCAATCGGAAACACTTGTGGGCGCCGATGCGGCATGCTTCTCAGGAGTTTCCTTGAAGAAAATGCCAAAGTTGGCTGATTGGTAGGCAAAAACACCCAGCTTGCGTCTGCTGTGAAACTTACAAAAGGCATTTGGGGAGAATGTGTCCACACAGCAGGGCGGTGTACGGTGAAACAGCCTGTGAATGAAATGTTTTTCTTCAGGTGGTGATAAATGGAGGCGCCACGTCCAGCGGGGAACAGGACAACGAAGACACCGAGCTCATGGCCATCTACACGACAGAAAACGGCATCGCAGAAAAGGTACTCCCTTGCCCCAGCCTCCTCCCCGTCATGGGACGTGGCTGTCCTTCCCCAGACTTGTCTCTATCCTCCCGAGTGGCTGTGTTCTCTTCATAATGGAAGTAGAAGGAGTGGCGAGGAGTAGAAGTGGCGAACTTTTCCTTGTCTTAATGGCAATTAAGGTGAGACCCATACAGAAGTTCTTACTTTTTAAAGCCTTAGCCAGGATCCTGAGGGGGGTGGTTAAGAGTGTGAGTCTGGATTCAAGCCTGGGTGCTAATGTGACCCGGGCCCTGAGGGAATTACTTAAGGTCTCTGGACATCATCAGCTGCCTCATCTCCAAAATGGGAATAAAAGTGTCAGCATCGGTCTTCAGTTGTTGTGAGCAGTACGTGAACTAGTAATCTGTGTAGTGTTTAGCACTGTGCCTGGTACATACTCTGTTGCAGTGAACCAGATCATACAAGAAGCCAGCTGTAGCTTGTGTAAACTGAAGGGGCGGAAATCATGTGTCGAGGTGGGGAGAAGCTTCCCCCCCATCCCATCTCCTTCAGATCAGCCTGTGTGACCCTATCACAGAGGCCAGAAGAGGCCTGCCCAAAGAGGACTCAGGTGCCTTAATTTCTTTTTTCACTTTGTATTGGTCACTATGCCTAACACATGAGGAGTTTGACAAAGGATATTTCCCGATTGTACTGCAGCTCTGAGACTTCTCAGTTTTTTTTTTTTTTTTTTGAGTTTTATCTGGTAGACTCCTAAAGCACATTTTGTGTTCATTGTGAAAATTCACTAAATCAATCCGTTTCTGTATTTCTAGAGCCACTGTATTGTATTTTTAAAAAGTAATCTCCGTGTCCACTGTGGGGCTCGCCCCCAAGACCAAGAGTTGCATGCTTTGCTGACTGAGCCAGCCAGGGTTCCCTGGACTGGACTTTACATGGCATACATCTTTAATGTTTTAGAAACGGACCACTAGAAAGTTGATACATGTGAACATACCTCCCAGCTTGCGCATTAGCACAGATTTACCGTGCCATCACTAAAGTGGTAAAGAACAAGGAAATTATATTGAAGTTCTGGAATAATTAATGTTTTGTGTCTGTGTATGGTTTCTTTCTTTCTTTTTTTTTTTTTTTTTCCATTTTTGGCTGTTTTGACCAGTATTGCTTTTTGGTCAAGCTACCATAAATTTTGTGGAGGCTAATTAGATTCATGCTGAGTTGTTGAAATGCCTGTGGTTCTGGATTCTAAGCTGCTCCTCAGAGTGCAGAAATTCTAGTAGCCACTATTGAAATGTTGACCGATGCCTTCATCCGTAGCTGAGACACAGTCCACAGAGCGAGATCTGGGCGGCGAGCCACCGCCTGCTTGGGTGTCGGCATCCAAGTGGTACATCTTGCAGCAGAGGGCTTCTGAATTCACAGACTCATTAGGCTGGATCCATTTCTGGGTTCTGGGCCCTTAATCACAGTCACCAAATTTCCCGGGTATAGGCTGTCATGTTTTTAGACTTCCTCCTCCAGTATACAGTAAATGATGGTCATCTTTTGAAATGAATAGCAAGGAGCATTAACACTCGGGGCTTTTTAACATCTCTAGTGGTTCCTTTTACTGATGCTAGTGAAGTGTTGGCAAGAAAAATGTCTAGCTCATTTATATTAGCACATTTATGCTAGACTTCTTTTACCTGTTTGAAAATCATTTTCATTGTCTAAACTTTGATACATTTGTATTGTCTTAATTACCAGTGGGATGGAGTATCTTATTTCACTGGCCATTTTTCTTGTTTTATGAAATGACAAGTGTAGGCAGAACAGCTGCTGTGTATCGAACAGTGCTAATGGTCTAGACATTGGGTTGAAAGCTTTAAGCAATGGGTCACATCCAGTCCTTACCATAGCCCTATTAGAAAGGTGATCCCACTATCTCTGTTTTAGAAAAAGAAAATGAAATATTTAAGTTTTCTGCTGTCTTGAATTTGTGCAAAGAAAACTTCACACCAGAGGATGCTGCCCTTTGGGATCTGGCGTTCAGAGAGGGCAGCGACAGGCTGTCTCCAAACACCTGAGTGTGAATAACAATGGGATTTGCGGGAGAGATGGGAGATGGGAGGGGGGGGGTGGCTGGAGGCTGGAGAGGTCATCTCACGTGTGCGCCATGTTCATGCTTGTTTTCCTAATTATAGCGAGCCTTCAGTTGTCATACGTTCCCTGACGTTATACAGAATGTGACTTAACTACTTATGGTAAATGCTGGTTAGTATGGTATTACTACAAAATACTGGGCTCAAAGAGAGTTATTCCTGAAAGGACCAGAAGGCTAATGCCTTGAGTCATGGAACAATGAATCTGTAAGACAGTGTTGGGACCCCACACCCAGTATGTTCTGAACTTGACCTCAGTATCATTGTGATTCTTCAGGGAGGGATGTTGAAGAATTGACTTTGCTTATAGAGAGGACATTCGGAACAAAATGAAGTAAATACAAGTAGAAGGTTTCGGTGTTCCCATTGAAATATCAGCATTTCGTTGTTTTACAGATTGCCCACAAAATATGTTTACAGGAGCATGTGAAGTGGTTGCAGTGGTGTTGGGCAATTTGTTATTAATCACCGTTGTAGAAAATCAGGTATTTCTGGTAATTACTAAAGAGCAGCTCTGTTTTTCCCTAGGAGGCCGTGTGGTGTGGTGGCAAATGCAGCCTTTGGGGACAGCCTGTCTGTTCACTCAGCCTCTCAGATTTGCCAACTCCTCACCTGTAAAAGGGAGTTGTAACAACATGTGACTTCCCAGGGCCATTGTGAGGAAGAGAGGACAGAGTGTAAAATAGTGTGAGGCTTTTAGGAAGCAGGGATTGTGGAAATGAGGAAACGGTCACAGTGAACTAGTTACACTGTGTCCCCACTTGAATATCCCACCCTACTTGGCACTGGGATCTTTTGCTGCCTCTTGTTGCAACAGCTGTGTGGTTGAGAGTTCGTTGTATAGAAGAGAAACTTAATTTCATAACGTTGAGATTTTTTATTTTTATTTATTTATTTTTTAATATTTTTATTTATTTCTAGGAGAGAGAGAGAGAGAGAGCGTGAGCAGGGGAGGGTCAGAGAGAGAGGGAGTCACAGACTGAAACAGGCTCCAGGCTCTGAGCTGGCAGTCAGCACAGAGCCCGACGCGGGGCTCGAACCCACGAACCGCGAGATCATGACCTAAGCGAAAGTCGGACGCTTAACCGACTAAGCCACCCAGGCGTCCCGAGATTTATTTTTAAAGTTAAAGAGGTTTTTAACTTTCAGTCCTTGTGGATTCTCTTTTACACCCCCTCCCCCCCTTTAATTGAGGCACCCGTAGCTCTTGAAAAAGGAAGTTCTCTTGGAATAGACTAAACAAGAACACAGCATTGGTAATTTTTGAAGCTGGAGAGAGATATGGGGTGGGCATTCCATATTTCTGTCTTTGTATATGTTTGAAAAATTGTGTGATACAGAGTTGAGAATAATTAGGTCATAACTTATTATTGCTACTCTGTCATTTTCTGGTATTGATTATAGCTGAGGAGATACCAGGTCAGTCTTGTTTTCTTCTTTTTATCAGTATCTTGATCTTTTTGACTTTTTTTTTTTTAGATTCTTTATTTATCTTTGATATTTAATAACTTTACTTAGATATGTTTTGATGTTGACCATTCTGGGTCAGTTTTTTCTGGCACTTGGAGTATTTAGCATTAAAGATTCTGTTACTTAGTAAAGCTGTCTTGAATTCTATCATTATTTTTTGTTTCAATCTGTTTTTTGGGTTTTCTTATTTGGGGAAGTTGGATCTCTTTTGCCTGCCTTCTCTGGCTGTCATTTCATATCTTTTTTTCTCCCCTTATGTGGTTTGATTTTTTTTTTCTTCCCTACCCTGTGACCTTTACTCTGTTATTCATGATGTCTGTTTTCTCATGTTCTTACCACTTCTACTCTCTGTTCCTTTTTTAAAAAAATTCTGTCCACATTCTACCAACTCCCGTTTTATTTCCCTTTGCTCTTAAATTTCTATTTTAGGACTATTCTTATTACAGTTGAATTTTATTGAATTTTCAAACTATCCTAATCTGTGCAGTATTGGTGGTATAGTACCTTCCAAAATGTCTGAATAGTTTTTCGCTAGTTCATTGAATACTTGGTGGGTCTTTCTAATTTGCTAAAGGTGCCCTTTAGTTCTTGGAAATTTTTAAATCTCTTCGATTAATTCCTATCTTCTGTTTTCTTTGTTCTATTCTGACTTAAGAAGTTTATTTATTTTGAGAGAGTGTGTGAACTGTGGTGGGGCAGAGAGAAAGAGGGAGAGAGAAACCCAAGCAGGCTCTATGCTGTCAGCACAGAGCTCGATGTGGGGCTCGAACTCCTGAACCATGAGATCATGACTTGAGCTGAAATCAGGAGTTAGACGCTTGACCAGCTGAGCCACCCAGGCGCCTCTGTTCTATTCTTTTAAAAAGCCTATTATTTCTGAGGCACCTGGGTGGCTCAGTCGGTTAAGTGTCCCACTCTTGGTTTCAGCTCAGGTCATGATCTCACGGTTCATGAGTTCCAGCCCCACATTGTGTTCTTCGCTGATGGTGCAGAGCCTTCTTGGGATTCTCTCTCTCCCCCCCCCCCCCCCCCCCCCTCCCCCTGCCTCTCCCCTACTCATGCTGTCTCTGTATCTCTCAAAATAATAAATAAACTTAAAAAATAACAAGCCTATTTCTTGTCTATTTTTGTCTTTTCTGTTATCTGGAGGAGAGAGATCTTTGACTCTCAACCCTTTTGTTGAACTTCTTCCTCCTATCTGTTTTAGTTTCTAGGACCTCTTTTACTATTCGATTTCTTTTTCTAATTTTTGTAAATGTTTTATTTATTTCTGAGAGAGAGATAGAGACAGCACGAGCAGGGGAGTGCCAGAGAGAGAGGGAGACACAGAATCTGAGGCAGGCTTCAGGCTCTGAGCTGTCAGCACAGAGCCCGATGCGGGGCTCGAACCCACGAACTGTGAGATCATGACCTAAGCTGATGTTCGACGCTTAAGCAACTGAGCCACCCAGGTGCCCCAATTTTTTTCTTTTAATTTCGTTTAATTTACTGTTTAAGTCTTTTCAAATGGCATCTCTTTACTCTCAGGCTTAAATTGTTTTTATATTTGTGAGGATATAGGGTTGGTCTCTCCTCTTCCCTCCCCTTCCCTTCCCTCTTCTCTTCCTACTGACCCTATTTTCTCTCTTTGGTTCTTCATTTGGGAGCCTTCCCTCATTGTCTCAGGAGTGTGAGGAAAAAAAAATATGACTGGCATCATTGTGTACAAGTGAAATTTGTCTTTTGGTGACCCTTGACACTCAATAGCCAGGTTGTCACTGTGGGGTGTATAGACGTTAGCATCTTGTCTCTGGGGCTGATCACTTCCTCCAGAAAGGAATCGTCTCGTCTCCTGTGGGTGTTAGCCTGGCGTCTGTAACCTCGCGTCTGGCATTCCAGAAGTAGATGAGGACCCCACTGTCCATAATTACATTTAACCTCATGTAGTTATTTCTGAGTCTGAAGTCTTTCTGGTTCATGTTCTTCCAACAGTACATTTTTGTATCTTGAAGGACGAGGATGGCAGTCGGCAGCGGGGTATCTGGTCGGTTTGTGGCATTAAAACCCATCCTCTTCCCTTTCCCACTCTGGTCTGTATCTGTAAGCAGAGAACCTGTCTGGGTTCCTTCTGGTCAACCGGCTCACTTCTTCACACTCTCCCTCTTTAAGCACCCAGGGTTTAGATTCCTTCCCTCTCCCCAGTGGGTCACGGTTCATGCAGGTGCTTTATGTTTTCTACCAATGCGTTACCCTAACTTCTCCTGTCCTTGTTTACTTCATCTTTGTAAATGTGTGGTATGATCATGCCTTCTTTGTGCTTGCAGGAGTTAGAGGAAGTGACAGGTCGTAGTCTACAGTATTTAACTGGAACTCAAAAGCTATTCCTTTGAAAAGACCAATGGAATTGATCATTGGTGGACCTGATTAAGGAAAAAAATGAGAAAGCACAAATAAACATTAGCAATGTGAAGAGAATCACTAGAATAATGTTGCTCACAGTGTTACTGTAATGGGTTGTACAAATCTGTTAATTGTACTGTTAATATGTACTTTGTTTTCAGATATTTTTTCTTTGTGGGCAGTAATACCCCTGCTTGTGAGGCCATGGGTAATAAGTTGGTATTGGATTGTCCTTTGTATAATCCATAATTGTATCATGTAAGTGAAATGGCCAACTGAGTTCACAGATTCTCAAAATCTGAGTTGAGGGTTCTCAGATCAGGTTCAGTGATTAGCCAGATGAATTCACAGAATTCAGGAAAGCTACTAAACTCATGATTATGGTTGATTTCAGCAAGAGGATACAGACTAAAATCAACGGAAGAGTATGTAGGGCAGCATCCAAGGAACTGAAGCTTTTCATTGTCTCCTCCCAGTAGGGGCATGTGGGCAGCACTTAATTATCCCCAAAAACGATGTGTGACAACCCTCAAGGAATGTTGTCAACCAGGGACGCATACGCAGGCCTTGGCATCCAGTGTTTTGATTGGGGCCAGCCATGTTTGCTATGGCCAACCCACACACGTGGCCGACCGTAGCATCCAGCTCCTCCAGCGGTCAGATTGGTGCCATGTGGTTCAGGGTCCCCACCACAGAGGACATTGTTAGCATAAACTACTTGGAGCAGCCCAAGGCTCAAAGTGGACACACTTTTTTTTTTTTTTTTTAATTTTTTTAAATGTTTTTATTTCTAGGAGAGAGAGAGAGACAGTGTGAGCAGGGGAGGGTCAGAGAGAGGGAGACACAGACTCTGAAACAGGCTCCAGGCTCTGAGCTGGCAGTCAGCACAGAGCCCGATGCGGGGTTGAACCCATGAACCGCGAGATCATGACCTAAGCGAAAGTCGGACACTCAACCGACTAAGCCACCCAGGCGCCCCAAAGTGGACACACTCTTAAGAACAGTATATTCCCAGAACTCACAGGCTGTCTCCCACTTGGCAGGCAAGGACCAAGCTGTTTTTTTGAAATGTGTGAAGGTTTGGACATCCCAGACCTGCTATAGTTCATCTTTTCCTGCACATCACCACATACCACATACACATGTACTTTCTCCACTGCCTCTACCAACAGGTTTTTAAAAGACCCACATAGTCCATTTTTAACTCGTTCAGGAATGCAAATCTGCCAGTGTCCGTCCGTTGTTTGAATGGAAGAAAAAGTTCTCTGAAAGGTCATACTCCGTTCTCATTTGGATTAACTCAAATGTCAACTTACATCAGACATTTACTTTTAGGCTTTAGAAGGTAAGGCTGAGCTGTGTCACTCCTTTTCTTTAAGAGTATTTGGCCCCAAATCGCTGTACACCTCTGCGGGGGAAATCAAGTGACAAACAGGGAGCCTGCATCTTTCTGTGGACCGTATCTGTGGACAAGAGGGCACACAGGGGGCTGGATATAGTCAGAAGGTCGCCATCCATCCTTACCTTTTTTTGTGGAACATCTTTTAATTTTGTTTCCTATTAGGCACTCTTTTAAGGACAAAAGACTTTGAAAAAAAAATGCTCATTGTGGATTCTAAAAAACTTTTCATAGAGTTTAAAAAAAAACAGTGCAGTTTTGAGGGTATGTGGGGAACTTGGGGTTATCTTGAGTTTTCTGTTAAGCTCAGAGTAATACAGACACTGACTGTAAACGTCTAGACTATAACCTAAAATATCCAGTCTTGGTGGAGATTTTTGGTTCAGAAAGCATGCAACATCTAATATTTTTAAAGTCTGTAGTAATGGGGGTAGAGGAAGAGGGAAAGAGAAGAGGGGGGAAGAAAAATCCCTGTTTCCTGAACTATAAATGAATAGTTTTTGTTTTTTCTTTTAAACAAGATTGGAATCTTCTATCCATGTACGTTAAATTTTGCTCTTTTCACTCGGCACTCTGTCTGAGCAGCAGTGTTTTGATAGGAGGGTGTAGAACTTGGGGCTTGTTTTGTCTTTAGGCTACAGAGATCTTTCTCCTGACAGGGATCGGATGGGGTAGAAGGGGCAGATTAGTGCTGTTTCAAAATGGTGAGCATTTCATAACCTTTTTTCCTTTGGGTCACTACTCAAGGATTATTCATGCCAATGTATCACTTTGCAGGGTCAACTTGGGAGCATCCCTTTCCATGGAGGGGGTCCCTAGGTTTGGGGAGAAGCTCCGAGCAAGCTGGGTGCTCTTGGGGGTGCATCAGTGACCGGGGATATTGAGCCCCCAAGCTTGAGGACAGCTTGTCTCACTGAGCGGGTTGAACATTGTATGAAAGGCAGCCAACGCGTATTTTTACACCAGAGAATGGCCACCACTTTTTAAAGTTGTTTCTCAGTAACCACGTGCTGTAGTGAGCTGAGTTACTATTACTCCTTGCTTTTGTGAAAAAATTCCTTTTCTCCCTCTCGCTCGCAGAGCTCTCTCGCCGAGACCTTGGATAGCACTGGCAGTCTAGACCCCCAGAGATCGGACATGATTTACACCATCGAAGACGTCCCCCCCTGGTACCTGTGCATATTTCTGGGGTTGCAGGTAAGGTGGTTCCCTTAGGATGTGACCACCAGCAGATGTCCGACTCCTCCGTTTGGATTCTTTAAAAATTCAGTTTCGATTTTATTATTTTATTATTTTATTCGATATTTATTATTTTTATTGTTTATCTTAACTCTTTTAAGAATGATGCCTGGGACTTGTTAGCCTCCATTTCAGGGTAGTGAAAGGAAGAAAAGAACAGGGGGAGCTTAACCAGGGAGCGGAGGAAGGAAAACGTTCAAGGAATGAACAAGATCAGCGATGTGGATGGAAATAGCAAGGACTGTAGAGGTCTAGAAAGAGGGGAAGACACAGAGAGGGAGGGAAGAGCAGCTTTCATCTTCATTCCTACTCAGGCAGTCCATCCGTGGTCAGTTCTGCCACGCAATGGGGGTGGCCCTGAGAAGCGCGGGTTGGCCAGGACATATGTGGGAGGTTTGGTCTTGTCCGTAAAGGGAGGGAGACGTTGCTGTGGTAGAGGCTGCTTTGTCTGCTGCAGATTGCAGCGGGAGCAGAGTGGGCAGGCCACCAGGGGAAGGGGGGCGTGGCGGGAGGGCTGACACAGAGCCCCTGCATCTTGGGGTATTTTCCTCCCCTCTTCCCTCTCTCCGTCCCCCTTTCCCTCTTAGGGACTGGAGTAGGGCTTTTGGAGAAGGACAGAAGCTTTTCCCCCTGGCCTGTATTTGCCTTGGTTGTTTTAGCCTGGACTCTGTTTGAGGTCTGACCTCCCTTTCTTCCTTTCTCAAGTTGGAATGGGCTGTTCAACCTGAGGGATTTCAGATGCTGAGAAAAAGCGATCCCATCACCCCCACAGGTGTAGTTCCTTGGAGGGAGGGCTGTACCTGCCCACACCTGATGCCTTGGCCTGGTTTCTAGCACACCCCACCTCCCGCCCTCATCTCCCGCACAGGCAGTAAAGCACTTGGTCACCTGGACTGAAAGGTGTCTGATAAAGGAGTCATGGCCAGAGGAGCTACAGGGTCTTTAGCTTGGGCTGAGTATCCTGAATCAGGTTCAGGAAACTCGCTTTCGGGAATGTTTAGGTTATAGATGTCTCTAGAAGTGTGCCCCGGTCTAGGATTAGGAAACCCTGTGTGCAGCGTGCCTTTCTTGACCGTATGCAGTGCTCTTAAACTCGCGAGCAGCTCTGTGGAGTCCTGGACAGGAGCGCTCTGTTCCCCGCGTGGAACTCCCTGTAGTGCCGTACAGCTGAGCGTCAGGGCTGCGGGCAGCCCGTTTTGGCAAACGTGAGCAGAGACGGGGGGCTCGGGTAGGAAAGCGGGAAGTGTGCAGAACAGAAGTGGGGGCCGAACAAGCAGGCCTGTGGGAGGAAGGGCCGTGAGCAGGGAGTGCCGGGAATGTCCCGCCGGGGCTGAAAGGGTAGGGGCTGGGGCCCCAGGGAGGAGGGGATGGGCTCCTCCTGGAGGATTCCCACAGCTGCCATATGTCCAGAACCCTTCCCTGATGGTAGTCAAATAACGCCGGACCCTAGAAAGAGATGGAAAACACCCTGTGCAGTGAAGCCTGTGCAACTTCAATCCACAGACCTCAGAGTATTAAAAAAGCAGATTAATTATCCCAAAAATATAGACGTAGAAGTCCACATGAAGTATTGGCAGATCAAACCCAGAAGAAAAACCTAGCACGACGAACTAGGGTTTGTTTCAAGAATGCTACCGCGCAGCAACACTCGCGTCACCAGATCACAGGAAGAAAAGACCTAAGACTTTAGCAGTTGATGCTAAAGAAGCACTTGAGAGAAGCAGATATTTTCAGTAAGAGTTGTGTAAATAAACGTCAGCAGTGCTTGGATCATGTGCTCTGTGCAGGCCTGCACTTAGGTGAGCAGTAAGACAGGAAGATGGATGAGAAAGAAGTGCTGGACAACATTGATGGTTTGGCACATGATGGGCACGTATACCCCAAACCAGAGATTCTTCACATGGGCTGTATTTAAAAACCAATAGGGGACTTGTGGGGATGAGCACTGGGTGTTATATGGAAACCAACTTGACAATAAACTATTTGTAAAACAAAAAACAAAAAACAATAGGGGGCAGAGTTAGCATAAAGTCCAAAAACTTCCCCCAACCATCTCCTCTCACCCACAGCACTACCTGACCTGTTTCAGTGGCACCATCGCTGTGCCCTTCCTGCTGGCCGATGCCATGTGCGTGGGGTACGACCAGTGGGCCACCAGCCAGCTCATCGGGACCATTTTCTTCTGCGTGGGAATCACGACTTTGCTGCAGACAACGTTTGGATGCAGGTGAGATTGGGGTGCTGGATTGGGATGCTGAAGCCCCCTAAGGTGATGAGCTAATGCCACTCGCCTAGGGCCGCATGGAAGGACCTGCTAGAGTTGGCAGGGGCGTGTCCTAGTGGCCCATGTGCCCTGACTCCCCAACCCTGTGTTCCTTCTCTTGGTGGGTGGCCCTGCTTCCCGCCCAGGTGTGCAGGCTGGAAACTCAGACACCCTCTCGGCCCCTTCCACATGCCCAGCAGGCTGGCTCGTTCTCTCTGGCAGCCCCTCTCTGCTCTGCCTCCTTTAGTTCAGACCTGGCTGCCCCGCTCGTGCCCAGTCGGTTTCCCCGCCTCCAGAGCTACCCTCCTCACCCCTGTGCCCCCACTCTCCTGCTGACCCTGCTTCTTCCTCCAGGCTGCAGCCCCAACCCCCCCCCCAAAAGGCCAACTGCGCCCCCTCTTCAAGTTTGCTCTGTATACAGTGGCGCCCCCTTCCTGGCCTGCCTCCGAGCCCTGTACTCACGCTGCGATGAGCCCCCCCCCCAGCCTGCTGTCTCACCGTCCTGTGCTTGGCTCCCTAGCAGCCAGGAAACCCTGCTCATCCTCCCGACTTGTCCCCCAGCCCCCGCGCCCCCCCCCCCCCCCCCCCCCGCCCCTGTGAAGCATCTTGTGTCCTCAAGGCTCCGTTGCTGCCTCCTTTGAATCCCCACACATGAATCTTGTCTACGGTCTTCTAATGTGACTTCTTTCTACTTTGTCCTCTTTTGTGTCTTTTTCCACTGGATTGTGCTCCCCTCCTTGGTGCCAGGGCTCTGGCGTGTCCATCTCGCACCCCCGCCCCCAGCTTAGACGGGTGTGGAGCTGGCCCGAGGAGAACGAGAACCGTCTTGGCCTGCCTCCTCTTGCAGGCTGCTCTCGCCTCTCCTCTCCTCTTCCACCCTCTTCACAGCACGGCCTCTTCCTTGGTAACCCGGGCTCTGCTCCCCGGGTGGGGCCTGCTGGGGCAGGACTGTCCCCAGGGGAAGGGCAGCAGGACACACTGACGGCTGTCTCTCGCTCGCTCCGTTAGAGACGGCCAGAGGAGGGGTTTGCCTTCTGGGGGGCGGGAGAGGTTGGGAGGCAGCTTGGGAATCACGGACTGTATTCTCAGGAGTCGGAATCCTCAGGGACCTCAAGAGGGTGGCTCTTCCTTGGGGACGGGAGAAATCTGGGCAGGACCGTGAGCTTTCTGGTTGGTGGTGCAGGCAGTGTCCTGGGAAGAGATAGGGCAGCTCCCTGCAGATCTGCGGACGGAAGGACGGCTGTGGAGGCCGCCCGGCTCCTGGAGCTGCCCACCCCCTGCCCCGCGGGCCCGCCTGCAGCCACTGCTCTGAGCAGATCCGCTCCCCCAGAGGGAGGGTCTAGGGGATCCGTGAGGGGAGGGGCAGGGTGTCGTCGACCTGCTAGGGGGGAGGGGGTGCGTCCTGGGCATCCCAAGGACTTGAGTTATTTTCCTAGAGCCAGGTAGCTAACTTTGGCTGGGAGCATCTTTCAGTCTTCTGCTGTAACACTCAAGATTTCGGCACTTCAGGTCTAAGTGTATTAAAAAAATGTTTGTTGGCTGACTCTGACGCATTACCTGGCACACAGGCCTCTGGTTCTCTCGGGGAGTTGCTCTTTTTCTAAACAACTGACTCACTGTGGAACTTGTATCACAAACCGTCTGTGAACCGGCCAGTGCTGTGGTTGAGAATCGCTGGTTGATCTGAAGAGGGGAAGGGGTGCATGTGTCTTTATTGTGGTAGCATACGCACTGTGCGCTTAGCCCCAGGAGGCTAGTCCTGACCGACCGTGGAGCCCGGCCGCGGCGGACACAGGTGCCTGCTGGTGACACGGAACGGAGGGTTGGGCACGTTAGGTGAGGACTCGTAGTCACAGGAGGGTACCCATTCAGGACCGTCTTGTCCATTCTCTGCACATCTTGCCACTGCTGTCGTGCCGCCCCCAGCAGCTGAGCTGAGGAGGAACAGGGCAGGGACTGGGTGTAGCTGCTGGGATGGCTCACGGCCGTGTCACACCGAGCTGCAGCATGTATGCACGTGCACACATCTGCGCCCGCACTACAAGTGCTTGGGTCGGCACTCCATGCCCACGAGGCTCGGTGAAAGCAGCTTTCCCTGCTCTGCTTTGCTGCAGGTATCAGGGAAGTCGCACCCGTGTCCTTGGGTGGCGTGAGCAGCGGTGAGGGCCATCCTCATGGTGGTGGCCCTCCGCGTTAGCTCTAAGTTGGGGGCCGGGGGGTGGGGAGCGGGTCACATCTGCCGGCCACATCAGCGAGTATGTGCTGCTGGGGCAGGATGACTTGGTGTGATTTTGTCTTGGGATGTGGAATTTCTATGGCTGTTGGCATGTGGAGTGGCGTCCACACTCTTTATCTGGGAAAAGGGAAGGAGAAAAGTCCAGACTGGTTCCCACTTAGCAGACAGTCTGTATATAAGGCACTGGGTGACTGGCTGGCCCCAGCTGTGGAGGTAGTGAGGGGAGTATGTGCTGCGAAGCTTAAAGGGCAGCTACCTGCACCTTCAGAGATCTGCAGTGATGTCCTGGGGACGTGAAGGGAGAGCCTCGGGGGAGGTGGCAGCATGTGAGATAGGTCTTGAGCACTCAGTAGGCTCCTGGCCCAGGAGGGTGGAAGGAGCATTTTCCATCCTGGGCAGGGCAGGGCAAAGGCAGAAGTCAGGCTGGTGAGTGCTTCGCCTGACCAGAGGCTGGGCCGTGTGCCATCTCTGATACTTGGGTGTTATCAGCAGGGCACAGGGAACTTGTTAGGGTTCTGTAGCTAGAGTACTTACCTACTGGGACTGAGCTTTGAAAGACACTACTTGGGTGCTTAAGGGCCAGATTCAGGACATCAGGGATATCCTGGAGAAAGGCAGTGGGGATCCATGCAAGGATTCTGGAAGGGAGATAAGGAGAATGTTAGAGGTGGCAGAGTCCATAATATGTGGGATGATAGCTAGCCAGGGGGCAGCGGGAAGGGACAGGCAGACGGAGACAGTGTGTGTGTGTGTGTGTGTGTGTGTGTGTGTCGGTCTGTCTGTCTGGGGGTTGGGTAATGAGTTTAGCTGTAGCCTGCATTCTGGAGGTCCATTCCTGCTTTTCATCTTTAAATGGAAAGAAAAGCATGGTGTGTGCCTTAGGTGTCTTGGTTAAAGAATCAAGATCGAATGCATGTGAGCAGCTGTCTTTGGGACTGGAGAGATTGGGCTCAGGCGGGAGGAGGGGGCAGCCCACCTCACAATGTCACTCCCTTGGGTTCCTGGCCCTTTCTGCCAGGGTTAACGTTTGCTCTACTTCTCTTTGCTAATAACATATTTTTCTTGCCTGGGATCCTTGCCATTGAATCCTTCCAGTGGTGTGGATTCCAACTCTGCAAAGCCTCAGGCTCTTATTGATATATTCTTCTCAGTGTCTTCCCACCTTATACTTGAGGTCCTGCTGAGCAAAGATGAACTGAGATGGTTAGGTGGGTGAGGGGATCTTCCCTCCTTGGCTGGTCACCACTTCTGGGGTTTGTTTGCTGCACCTATATATTCATGTGTCCCTCCCATCTCCCTATAGTTCCTGCATCTCCTTTCCGCCCCCACCACCTTCCCATTAGAGCTCTAACTTCTCCAACGCCCTCTTCCCTCCTTCCACTGGGCTCTAAAGGGCAGGGCTCCCATCTCTAGCAGAACCACCTCCTGGTCCTTGCCCAGTTTCCCGTAGGTTGAATGGGAGAAGAGCAGAAATCCCAAGAGTGGCCAGATACCCAACTGCCTCCCCTCCACGCCCCCTCTTCCAGTGTTGCCAGCAGAGCAGGGCTGGCGGTCAGACCTCAGAGTGAGGACCCGTCCACAGTACCGGACATTCAGGATGGGGCAGGGGTGAGCATCCCTGGGTCCGTTCCAGAGGCCCACCAGGTTGGTGCTGCCAGAGCTGGCCGTGTTGCCAGTGCTGGTTCACATTGAGTTGGGATGCACCAGTCAGGCATTTAATTGCATATGGTTTGGCAGTGCAGTGATGTTGCTATAATGGATGAATACTGTTAAAAGTCAAATATTACTGTTTCAAGGAAACCTAATTTTGGGTTGCAACTAATAAAGTAATTGATGTATTTTTAAAAAACAAGTTTTGGGATATTATAATGATGAACTATAATCCCATTGGAAGTGAGAAACGAAAGTACCCCATGTAGAACATTAGCTGAAGCCATGTGGCAAAGAATGCTTTCATTTCCCTTCACACATGGGGGAGTTCAGCGAGCACAAGAAGTTATAGGGACCTACTCAGCCCTCTGACCTTGAGCAGGTGACCTCCCCGGCTGATTCCTTTTGTGAAAATGAGTGGTGGCTCTTCTCAAGGTGGCCTGTAGGGGACGTTTTGCCATTATTCTGCTTTTGTATATTATTATAAGCTTTCTAAAGTAGGCCTGAGAAGTTGTGGAGTATGAATCATATGAAAGCTCTTTTAGTTCTGGGTGCTAATGTGGCCCCTCAGCATAGGCTGTGAGTTATCTTAACAGACTTAGGTGTTTTACTTCCCGATCACAGCAGGATCACATAAATACAGAAAGCAGCTGGGGCAGAGGGGATGGCCAGGGAGGGACAGCGCAGGAGGGGAGGGCTGACGGAGCCAGGAGCGGGGCTTTTTCCTGGTGTCATAGCTGTAAGGATCGTAGGTGGCCTGTGCATACGTGTGCACCCGTGTGTGTATGCACGTGTGCTTGCAGTTTAGTGCCCACCTCCTTGGGCTTAGAGCGGCAGCAGGACAGCGTTTCATGTTCAGCGTTCCCGAATTCTAGGACCTGTTCTCAGACCCTGCAGTGCTTGAGTTGCGTACATTTCTTTGCCTATTTGCCCACTGCACACCGATTACCCGATGCCCCACTGCCTTGGTTGCAGTGGGTGCGGGGGCTTAAACGCCAACTGTTGTTCATACTTGAGAAGAGTGGACCTTTCCTGTGAGGACGCTGGGGTCTAGAGCAGAAGAGGGAGGAAAGTGTCA